AGTAGTAAGTAGTATTAGTAGTCATCGTAGACGTAGTCGTATAGTCGTGTAGTAGTCCGTATAGTCGTAGTAGTAGTAGTATGTAGTAGTAAGTATTAGTATAGTTAGTAAGTAGTATTAAGTAGTAGTAGTAGTAGTAGCAGTAGTAATAGTATTAGTAGCCGCAGTAGTAGTAGCGAGCAGGCTGTAGGCTGTAGCTCAGGCCTTTTGAAACTCGCACGCTGGATCGGCGGATTAAGACCAGGGGGGGGAAGGGGGGGTCATGCGAAGAAGATACTAGTGCACGTTTTTTCTTCAATGGTTCTCACTCATGAAGAAGACTTCTAGTTGATCCCCCCTCCAGACTGCACTGGCATTTCACAGTCAGAGTGTGCTTTTTGACGCTCGCATCTTTTGTTGTCATGGACAGTATGTGTGCTGAAACTGGCTTGTTGGCTCCGCGGACTACAGAAGCCATTGCTGTCGCCTGATTTCCGTTTCATGGGCTCAGAAAACACGCTCTCGCTGGAGTCTTCTGCGCATTGTGCTGAAGATTCGGGCTGTTGCCTTGGACTCCCGCCCAATTTGCTCAAGTATCACGCGCTCGTCTTTCCGGAGCCGCGTTCTCGCCTGGCACTCCACTCCCATTTCCAGTCCTTCTCTCGCCTGGGGCGTCCGGCCAAGCTGCTGAACCAGTGCGCTTTCGCTCGAGACCTCCCCGCGCTTCTTCCGTGCCCCGCCGGCCCGGCCCGCCAGTGCGGGCCCGCCCGCCCGACCCGCTCGCCAGGGTCGTCGGGGCTCGCCCGCCCGCCACCTCGGGGTCCGCCCGCCCGGCCCTGGCCCTCTTTCTCGGGAGGCCGCCCGTCCGCTCCAGTGTCCCGCCCGTCCGTCTCGCCTGCCGGGGCCCGCCCGCCCGTCTCCCGGCCTGTTGGAGCCCGCCCGCCCGCCGGCTCGGTTTTGCACTGTCGGGGCCTGCAGAGGCACTCTCATGAGCGAAGAGTGCTGGAGCCGAGGGCTCGTGCTGGGGGATGCGCAGGCCATGAAGGAACCAAATGATTGAAGCTCTTGTTGTTGGAGTCGTGCGTAATGGCCAGGGCCCGCAAACACGGCAGTATTGATGACAGCTCAGTGGGGCTTGGGATGGGGGGGAGATAGATCAACTCCCGCATCCCACGACCACCCGCCCAGCCGTGCCCCGCTCAACCCCCTCCCCGCCCCATCCACCTCTCCATTCCCTTTGAGGCGGGCGCCGTGTGGCGGGAACCTCGCTGCCTCATATTGATGGGATGGGTGGGCGTTGCATCACAGGTCCCGCCATTCGATTCAATCGAGGGAGCGGCCGCTCCGTACCCCGAAAACTGCACGAAGGGGACGCCCAGGCCTTCAGGATCGCCCAAGAGAGAGCCCAGCGTGAGACCGTCCAGCTAAAGACAAACCACACTGGGATCTTGATCCCCTCAGCCTCCAAGGGAGTACATCTAGGGCATCATTGCGGGCATCTCTGTTCTGATTAGCTGTCTGTGGCTTCCTGGGCATCTCGGGGCTATCTTGGCCATTTTGCGTTTGGGACTGTCTTATTGAGGCGTGGTGAGCCGTCCGCAGGCCACTTGAAGACACCGTGGGTCGTCGTGGAAACGTCGGGGTCGCTTTGGGATCCATTCTTCGGGCGGCCCAGGCCCTCCCGTGGAACATGATCCATAACCCTTGCAGACGCGGATAGGAGCGAGGGTTTGTTCTTGGTTCGAAGACGCGTGCACCCGCACCCACTCTTGTGGGGCCTATCTGAGCGTGGTTTTGTGAGGGCCAGGGTTCACCGCCAGATTTCTCGCATGTCCAAAGACCAGAGGAGCGGTGGGCATGATTGGCGTCCAGGCAAACTACTCTCCAACGCGCTGGGGCACGAATGCAAGAGCGGTTGCTAGTGACATGCTGCCACGTCGGAGAAGGTGGTCGTGAGTAGCCCTCTCCCTGCGCCGCCGAAGGTAATCGACGTACGGGACGCGCCGTTGTCTGGCAGGCTGCCAGAACTGACGATGAAGGCGCGATGCCGAACGCCCTCTTCTTGTCTGTCTGTCTGCCTGCCTGCCTGCCTGCCTGCCTGCCTGCCTGTGTCTACTGGCGATCTGGCTCTCGCGAGTGTCCGTGCCCTGAGTGTGGGGGATCCAGCGGAGTGCCGTCGTACGCGGACCCTCGCGTTTACTCTCCTCCCTGGGCGCTGCCAATTGCGCAACTGTTGCGTTTGTCGTGAGCTCCTGGGAGGCCCAGCGGAGTGCGGTCTTACGCGGACCCTCTCACGTTTACTCTCCTCCCCTGGTGCTATCGACTGCGCAACTGTCGGCATTTTCGTGAGCTCCTGGAAGGTCCAGCGGAGTGCGGTCTTGCGCGGACCCAGGCTATTACTGCTCCCCCGTGGCGCTGCCAACTGCGAAACTGCAGGCACCTTCGGGAGCTCCTGGACTGCCTACAGACAGCGGCCCTACGCAGGCCCGATATACGACTCGTGTCCCCAGAGTTGTTTCAACTTCGCAGACGTCGACACATTCGTGATCTCTTGGGAGGTCAGCGGGATGCAGTTACACGTTGACCCAAGCTTCCTCTCCTCTAGGCGATGCCAAGTGCACATCTGTCGGCACTTTCGTGAGATCCTGGGTGGTAAGCGATGTGACGACTTACGCCTGGAGTGCACGTTCCTTCGATGTCGCCTCATGTAGCTTTCTGGGGTCGCGAACTGAATAGAGTCTCCATGTAGCTTACAGAAGGAACACCGCGCCCAGTCGAACGGTCACTCGTGTTGGATAGGCTCGTTGATATTTTGATGTGTTTCAGATGGGTTGGGTACGTCCCTGAATAATGTGTCGATCGCTGCTGCATGCTTGTGCTAGCCGCCATCGGTGGTTGCAGATGACACCTCTTGTCGTTGTTCGGAGCGTAGCTGGGGACCAGCAGCTGGTACAAAGGGGGGATTCATATCAGTCCTTGCTGCATTATCTTGTTATCCTTTCTTCTGTCACTCCCTCCCTCTCTTTCCTTCTTCTCCTTCTGGGCTCGCCTTGTCTCCCAAGCCGAGAATCGCTGCACGGGATCGCCACTGCAAGGTTGGCTTGCGCTGCATTCCCATGTGGCTGGCGGTTTTGTGCTCCACGTTCTGACGACATACTCAAAACTGGGATGCTGTGTCGCTGGGTGCTCTCTCCTCAAGATGTGTGTGTGTGCTTTTGTTCACGCCTGCGTCCGTGCCCGCGTTGCTCTGCGCCCGTGCCAGTGCCAGTGCCAGTGTCGGTATCCGCACCGGTGCCCGTGCTTGTGTCCACATGTGCACCTGTCAGCGGCACTGTGTTCCTGTTGTGTTCGTTTGTCAGTCAGTCAGGCCGTCCATCGGCTCCTCGGCAGGCCCCGGCAGCCACGCTGAAGGAGCCGAGCCTGAAGCCTCAGTCCGAGGAGGCGCCTACGTTGCCCTGATCGATGACGATGGCGATGACGCTCATGGCAGCGACGATGCAGATGACGAAGGTGATGGAGATAACGAAGCTGATGTTTTTGATTATGATGATGGCGATGAGGACGATCATCGCGCCGCGGCCCATGGCGCGCGGCGGTCAGTGTACGGAGCGCCCCCGACGCTTGCCGTGGCGCCGCGCGCTAGGACGCAGCCCATCCCGTGTGCGCTCCTGCGCGCCCCCTGCAGGCCATCCGCGCTGCCAGGGCTCCCCCGCGGCCGGCCCCCCCCCCCCCACGGCCTCCCCTCCGCAGGCCTCCGCCGCGCCCGCTCTCATGGCAAGCGGAGCATGCCCACGGACAGGAGCCAGATGACACTCGAGGCGCCCAGTCGCCCAACCGGCCTGGCGCCTGCGGCGGCCAGCGCGAACGTGGACTCCTGGGGCCTCGCTCGGGCACCGATGCGGAGATGCCCAGCGCGGCGCCCGTCGCTGCTGCCACCGGGCCCGCCCCTGCCGAGGCCAGGGCGCAATCGGCGGGGCTGGAGCCCTCGATTGCCAAACACCTTGGCGCCGCTGCGCAGCCCGCGCTGCGCAGCCCGCGCTGCGCAGCCGAGCCTTGCCTGCCAACTCCGGCCGCCGCGCTCAGCGCGCCGTGCCTGGGCCGCCCCGCGCGGGGCCCGACGTTCGGCCTCCAGCCCGGCCGCCGCCCCCCCGGTGGGGGCCCTCCGCCCGCCCCGCGACGCGGCCTCGACGCCCTGCAGCGCGGGCCGCTGCGGCACGGGGCCGCGCTGCGCCTCCCCCCCCCGCGCCCTCCGTGCCGCCCTCGTCGCCCTGGACGTGCTGCTCGCCAGCGCCTCGTGCGCGGACGGCAGCGCCGAGCCCGAAAAGGGGGGTCTCGTGCCACTGCTCACGCCAAACACACCATGAAGCACCGAGGGCCAAAACTCGAGGTTCAAGGATCGAGGGTCGGGGCTCGCACGGATCGAGAGAAGAAGGAGAAGGGTCGAGGCTCGGGGGCACTTTTGCTTGGCACCTTTGGTGGCCGCCTCGCTGCCTCCTGGCAGGACCCGCCCCAGACCCCCAGAGCGCTTCGGAGGTCCGATGACGCTCCCACAAGCCCCTCCCCCAGCGGCGCCAGTGAGGCCCCCGACGGCAACCCCACGAAAGCCCGAACAGACCTCCGCGAGGCCCCCAGGAGACTCTCCAGGGAGGACCGAGCACGAGATCAGCGATCACCGACGTGTCGGGCGGCGCCCGGCCGACGAGCCCTCGAGCCGGAGCGCACGAGCGCCTGGACCGACGTCGGGCGGTTCCTCGCCCCGCGCCCTCCTGCCCGCCCGCTGCCTCGCCCGACCGCGTTCTCCCGTGCTGCCTTCCACGATTCGGCGATCTGTTCGCGACCGCGACCCCCTCCTTCGAGGAAGAGCAGAGCTGCACAAACGTAAAGCCTCGGAGCTCCGCGCAGGTTCCTTCGATCGGCGCCGGCCCCCCCTGGCGGCGCCTCCGCCGCCGCCCCTGGCGCAGATCCAGGAAGTCCTTGCGGACCGTCGAACATTCATGTTCATGGTGTTTTTTGTTCTTTCACTCCCCCCCACTCTCGCGAATCCCCCAAGGCGCTCTGCGTGAGGGGGGCGACGGAGGGGGTCGCAGGGCACGGCGAGGACGCAGCGTGAGAAGGCAGCACATCAGGGAAGGAGAGGGGCGACGATTGCGACGACCAACGGCGTCCACGGCAACGAGGAGACGCCGACGAGAACGGCAACCATAACCCCTCGCTGACTTGACCTACTTACCTCTCTCTCTCTTATTCCGCCTGCGTGCCGTAGTTGAAGGACCGAGGTGCACGGCGCCAAACGCCCATGCAGTACGTATACAAATAGAAAGGGAGAAAGAGAGAGAGAGAGAGAGAGAGTACAAAGTCGCTGTTTTGGGTCCACGCCTGGTTCACAAACATTCAAGTTTCAAACACGTGAAAATGCGGATATATGGTCGCAGCAACTTGACGTGGATCAACTTGTTTGGCAGTGTGCAATGAGTTTGTAGCATCAATACCAGCTACTGTATGCTAAAGTTGTGCCCAGCTGCCGGGAATGCCGTTGGTGTCCTGCTTGTTCACCTGCCGCCGCAGCCCCGCCGCACTTCCCCGCGAAGCCGCCCTTCGCCGCCGCAGGCCGTCGACGCAGGGGGCGCGCCCCTGCCTTCCTGGCTGGCGGACCTGCAGATCGAGGCGCTGTGCCTGACCTTGGCATCGCTCGAACGTGTGCATTTTCCCTCGGCGGGGACTATCGAGGAGCAGTTTGCTCACATGGGGGAAAACAAAAACACGCACGAAACCGAAAAATGCACAGGGAATGGACGTCCGAGCGATGGCGAGCAACGCCCTTCTGGCTTGTTCTCCTGCCTGCTCGTGCCAGTGCCCCCTCTGAGCCGGCGCCCGCCGGCGCCCCCTGGGTCTTGGGACCAGGGGGAGGAGGAGGAGGAGGAGGAGGAGGAGGAGGAGGAGGAGG